AGCCTCCTGAGTAGCTGAGACTACAGGCTCCCACTACAACATCTGGCTATTTTTATTTTATTTTACTTTATTTATTTATTTATTTATTTATTTGAGACAGAGCCTCAAGCTGTCACCCTGGGTAGAGTGCCATGGCATCACAGCTCACAGCAACCTCCAACTCCTGGACTTAAGCAATTCTCTTGCCTCAGCCTCCCACATAGATGGTGCTCGCCATGATGCCCAGATATTTTTTGATTGTAGTTGTCACTGTTGTTTGGCAGGCCCGGGCTGGATTCGAACCTGCCAGCTCTGGTGTATGTGGCTGGAGCCTTAGCCTTGAGCTACAGGCGCCGAGCCCATCTGGCTATTTTTAGAGATAGAGTCTGCTCTTGCTCAGGTTGGCCTCGAACTCCTGAACTCGCTCGGCCTCCCAGAGTGCTAGGATTACAGGCATGAGCCACCGTACCTGCCCACATCTGTTGTCTCTTGAAGCTCAAACTATGTGCCTCCCAGAGCTGGAGCTTTTGGAGACTTGATGGCAAAATGTCAGGCAATTAAAGTGTTGTTGGCTCCTCTTTGAGATATTTAATAAGTTGTTATGAGAGGAAGACAGGCTCTAATTCCAGGTCACCACCTTAAGACCTTATTGGACACAACCCTTTCTGTCTGAAGCCAGAGAGTCCAAACTTGAGAACACTACAGCTGCCCTCGAAACCATATTCCCTGCTATTTCTAGAATTACTATTTTCAAAATTGTGGTTCCCTGACTACTGGAATAGGGGTGTTTAAGAGATACCAGAGGCTTGGCGCCTGTAGCTCAAGTGGCTAAGGAGCCAGCCACGTACACTGGGGCTGGCAGGTTCCATTGAATCCAGCCTGGGCCTGTCGAACAACAATGACAACTACAACTAAAAAATAACCCACCTGTGGTGGGTGCCTGTAGTCCCAGCTACTTGGGAGGCTGAGGCAAGAGAATCGCTTAAGCCCAGGAGTTGAGGTTGCTGTGAGCTGTAATGCCAAGGGACTCTACCTAGGGTGAGGGTTGGAGGCTCTACCAAAAAAAATAAAAATAAAAAGAGATGCCAGAGAACTTAGGGACACCCTGATCACAGGGACACTCCATGGCACTGACACTAGAGAGATGTGAGAGCGTCTCCACCATGAGGAGCATTTGCCTGGTGTGGTGTGTGCATTTTGGATCACCCAGCCTCACCGCCTGACACTGTGCCAAGCCACTATCATCCCAGCCCCAGAAGTAAGCAGTGTTGGGTAATCAAACTTTATGACTTGACAAGATTTTTCTGGCACTGGTAAATGTATTAGTAAATAGAGTCAACAAAAAGGAAACTGAGAGCCAGCCAAGGTTTTAAAGGAGTCGTATCACCTCACAATCCCCAAACCTGGCACAGAGCCCATAACTGCTCTGTCCCTAAGGCATTCCATACACCTAGGCGTTAGTTACTCTACAAATATTTGGTAAGTGCCTCCTGTATGTCAGTCACAGTTCTAGGCAGCAGGGGTGCAGCTAGGGGAAAAACAAGGCCCTGTCTTCACAGAATCGAAATCCTACTGATTCTCCAGATAGGACTATTTTTTATTTATTTTATTTTATTTTCGAGACAAGAGCCTCACTCTATCACCTGGGTAGAGTGGCTTCATAGCTCACAGCAACCTCAAACTCTTGGGCTTAAGGAATCCTCCTGCCTCAGCTTCCTGAGTAGCTACGACTAGGTGCTTGCCACAATGCCTGGCTAATTTTGCTATTTTTAGTAGAGATGGGGTCTCACTCTTCCTCAGGCTGGTCTTGAACTCCTGAGCTCCAGCAATCTACCTACCTTGGCCTCTCAGAGTGTCGGGATTATAGGCACAAGCGCCCGGCAGGAGTAGACTTCTAAAGTGCTACAGCCCACCCTACCACAGGCCCTGAAGGATCCTGGGCAACCTCGCCTGCGGCTACCATCTGTCTGACAGAGGCACTTACTACGTGGCCGAGGAATTAAAGGAGCAGGTGGAACACCAGATTATCTGGTCTGTCACTTAGGTTTACTATGTGCTTTAGACTATTCATCAATGGATGGTATTTCTCCTACCTTCTTTTCTAAATGGGATTTAGGAAAAACAGTGTTGGGAGAGTGTGCTGGGTAGTTAAGACCAATCAGGTATGTCCTGGGATACAGAATCATCAAGTGCCACTTCTGGAATTCTTTGGAACCAACATGGAAAAAGATGGAAAATAATGGAAAACCCGATTGCACAGGAACCCGCTTTGTCCCCAGGGATGAACTGCTGCCCTTCTAAGGAATTGACTTCTTGTCTTACACTATTTTTATAACTTGTTAACCAAAGAGTCCTAATTAGCATGTTTTTAATAAAACCTTCAAATTCAGGCTGGGAGCAGTGGCTCATGCCTGTAATCCCAGCACTCTGGGAGGCCGAGGCAGGTGGATTGCCTGAGCTTTATAGGTTCGAGACCAGCCTGAGCCAGAGTGAAACCTCATGTCCAAAAATAGTTGGGCATTGTGGTGGGTGCCTGTAGTTCCAGCTACTTGGGAGGCTGAGGGAAGAAGATCACTTGAGCCCAAGAGTTGGAGGTTGCTGTGAGCTGTGATGCCACCACACTGTACTGAGGTTGACAAAGTGAAACTTTGTCTCAAAGGAAAAAACCCTCAAATCCCATTTAATAGCAATTGAGCAGCTTAGGCAGTGAGTGCCGTGAGGGTTCAGAGTTGTACTAGGTCACCATGGGCTGGCTTGAAGAAGAGATGAGAAGGGGCCTTAGAGAGTAGAGAACATACTAAAGGAGAAGAAGGGGAAGGAGGCCTGAGTATGAAATGTGGCAAACAGGCTGCAAAGGTGGGTTGGGGCCAGGCGCAGGGGCACATGCCCGTAATCCTAGCACTCTAGGAAGCTGAGGTGGGTGGATGGCCTGAGCTCACAGGTTCGAGACCAGCCTGAGCAAGGGCAAGACTCCATCTCTAAAAAATAAATAGGCATTATCGTGGGCACCTGTAGTCCTAGCTACTTGAGAGGCTGAGGCAAGAGAATCACTTGAGCCCAAGAGTTTGAGGATGGTGAGCTGTGACGCTACAGCACTCTATGGGGGAAACGAAGTGAGTGTTTTGAGACTCTGTCTCAAAAAAAGAGAAAGTTCAGAAAGTACAGAAAATTGAAAAGTGATTCTTAATACACTGATCCCCAGGATCCTATTTTGAAGGATAACTATTTAGAGAAATGATTCTAGTTAGTGACCCACAGGGATCACAGGGCAGGGTTTTCCAAGCTCCCTGGATCACACCTTTCTATTTTTCCCATCTTAAAACATTCCATTCCTTCAACTTCTGTGACTTGGGCTTTCCCCTGCCAGCAGCCACTGCCAGGTTACCCCCAGATCGTCCCTTGGAGTACCCAACAGCCTGCAGCCCGCCCCTTGAAAACTGCTGTCCACGTGGCCATGTGGGGAAGGACAGGTCCAGGCAAGGGCTTCACCGCCTTCCTGCTCCTCCCAGGACAGGTCCGGCTCCTCCCCCGACTGCCTCTGGGCACGTCATAGTCCTGCACCTACACCCTGCACAGACTGTCCCTTTTACCTGGGACACTCTTTCCCACCCACACCCCATAAATTACAAACTGTTCTTTGTGCTTCAGCATGGACGTCACTCCCTCCCACTAGCCTTTCTGAAGTTCCTCAAATCATGGCCAGGAGCCCTCTCCTGTGACCCCATTTAATACTCAGTTACACACTTAGCACACTGTGTTAGTGTCACCACCTCTAGTTTACTGACCTTCATGCATTCCCTTCAAAGCCGTAAGTCATCTGAGTAATGACAGTCTCAGGCTGTGCCCCTGGCCTCCAGTGCAGGAGACAGCCAGTGAATTGGCGATCCAGGAGCAGGGCTACTGCCTCTGACTTTGCCTCACTCTCATCACAGGGTAGTTGTTTCTACATGGAGCTGCTCTCGTTTCTTCCCCTGCTGGGGCCTCAGGAGTGAGCATGGTGACCCCGCCCCCCTCTTACAGCACAGCAAGGAGAGCACATCCGGGGCTGAGCCCCCCAGGCAGCCAGGAGCCACTTCCTGACTGAGAAATGAAGTGTTGCCTGGAATCTCCTAGAGTCAGGGGTGACCATCTCTCCTGCCCACCCCCCTCCCTGCCCTGAAGCAAATAAGATGAGAAAATCTCCTAGAGACAGGGATGACCATCTCTCCTGTCCCACTGTCTGCTCTTCCCCTTCCCCAAAGGTTTATGTGCTAGAAGAGTCTTTTCCCACCAACTCTAAACTTGATACATACAGACAAGACACTTACCTGCTTTCAGAAAGGAGCTTCTGCCTTCTCAGGAACCCAGGCAATAGGCCAGGTCACTGCCGACTGTGGGGAAGAGCAGGTTGACAATGCCGGCCGGCTGGTTTTTCTTTCTGTTTAGTTAGTGACCACTGCAGCTTCCCAGACTCTCTCCCCACTCACTGCACCTTCAAACAGGTTGGTTTGAACCAAACCCTGGGGAGGTTGCCACACAGCCAAGCTAAGCTGCTTCTTCCCCGGTGGTAGGCAGGTGGCTGTTTACTAGGTTGCTAGTGTGACTGGGACAAAAGTCAAGGCTGAGAAAAGATTTGAACAGGGCAGCCTGGGGGTGAGGGGACACTCACCGCCCACTCAGAGACCTGGAAGCCAGGGAGGCGGGCAACAAATGAAAAATCAGTGCAATGCAAACACTTCCGCTCGTCCCTGCTGTCTCCTGTGTTTTCTCATTGCAGGGCAGAAAGGTCAAATTGAAACCCACCTTCTCTTTAGAGGCAAATTTTCTAATTTGGGGTGAGGGATAAATGGGGGCAGAATGAAGCTCGTAGACCCTGTTGGGTCCAGACAATCTTGGGCCAGGTTTCCAGGTTAAGGATCTGGGAGAGATGAGGAATCAGCATGGAACAGACTTTGAGTCAGAGACCCAGGTTCAAATCCCAGCTCCCAGATTATTAATTATCTCACTTTAGGCAAGTTACCTAACTTACTGCTTTCTTTTTTTTTTTTTCCCGAGACAGAGTCTCAAGCTGTCACCTTGGGTAGAGTGCCATGGTGTCACAGCTCACAGTAACCTCAAACTCTTAGGCTTAAGCGATTCTCTTGCCTCAGCCTCCCAACTAACTTAGTGCTTTCTTCATTACAAGGGGATGAGAAATCCATTTAGTAGACTTGTGATGAGGACTAAATGAGGCCGTATAGCTGGCTTAGGAGTAAAAGTGCTTTTGAACAAACTAGTTGAATCCTAGTTCACTGCTTATTAGCTGTGTGATTTTATTTTATTTTTTGAGATAGTCTCACTTTGTTACCCTCCCACCCCGGTAGAGTGGTATTAAGTCATAGCTCACAGCAATTTCAGACTCTTGGGCTCAATTAGCCTCCTGAGTAGCTGGGACTATAGGTGCTGGCCACAACACCTGGTAATTTTTTTTTTTTTTTGAGACAGAGTCTCACTTTGTCACCCTCAGTAGAGTGCTGTAGTGTCACAGCTCACAGCAACCTCAAACTCTGGGGCTCAAGTGATCCTTCCTGCCTCAGCCTTCCAAGTAGCTGGGACTATAGGCACTCACCACAATGCTCAGCTACTTTTAGAGATGGGGGGTCTCGCTCTGGCTCAGGCTGCTCTCGAACTCATGAGTTTTGGTAATCCACCCGCCTCGGCCTCCTAGAGTGAGAGTGCTGGGATTATAGGTGTGAGCCACTGTGCCTGTCTGCCTAGCTACTTTTTTAGAGATGGGGTCTCACTCTAGTTCAGGCTGGTCTTGAACTTGTGAGCTCAAGTGATCCACCTGCCTGGTCTCCCAGAGTAGCTATGTGGTCTTTTTTTTGTTTGTTTTTTTGAGACAGAGCCTCAAGCTGTCACCCAGGGTAGAGTGCTATGGCACCACAGCTCACAACAACCTCCAACTCCTGGGCTCAAGCAAGTCTCCTGCCACTGCCTCCTAAGTAGCTGGGACCACAGGTGCCCACCACAA